CATATATATAAACTGATTATATTTTTTCATGTCTCTGAATGCCATTTTTGATACGATGGAAAGGTTTATTAGCCGAAATTGGCATATATAATATTTTTATCACCTCACGTTTTTATTATTTCATTACCTGAAGATTTACATTTGATGTTTCATAAAAAATAATACCTGTTTTATATTATATTCTTATTCACAGTGTTCATATTGACAAGAATATCTCGTATCTTTTCACTCATTATCACTCGCACAGGACACACACACCCACACCCGCATCCACACCAGTGTTGCCATCTACCTCATTTCTCCTGAAACTGGTCGTCACATTGCTGGGGGCGGCGGACATGAGCTTCCTCATTAGTTTTCGATTCTCATCTAGAATGGCGTCGAGTCTGGTGTTGTATGGGCACGTCTGGAGGGGGAGGGGAGGTTAATGGAGGTTGGGGGAATAGAGCGATGGAGGGAAGAAAAAGAGAGGCGAGAGAGAGGAAATAGTGATTTACATATATATATATATATATATATATATGTATTGTGTGTGTGTGTGTGTGTGTGTGATATATATGTATATATATAATATATATTATATATATATATATATATATATATATATATATATAATATATATAATATATATATATATATATATATATATATATATTATATATATATATATATATATATATATATAATATATATATGTATATATATATATATATAATATATAATATATATATATATATAATATATATATATATGTATATATATATGTATATATATATATATATATATATATATATATATATATATATATATATATATATGTGTGTGTGTGTGTGTGTGTGTGTGTGTGTGTGTGTGTGTGTTGTGTGTGTGTGTGTGTGTGTGTGTGTGTGTGTGTGTGTGTGTGTGTGTGTGTGTGTGTATATATATATATGTATATATATATATATATATATATATATATATATATATTATATATATATATATATATATATATATATATATATACAGATAGAAGAGAGAGAGAGAGAAGAGAGAGAGAGAGAGAAGGAGAGAGGAGAGAGAGAGAGAGATTAAGATTAAGATTGAGATTGAGATTTATTCTTAGTATCTAGTGAGAGAGAGAATGAGGGAGGGCAAAGAGTGAGAGCAGAATGCATTTCCACTTCTTATCACATAATGATAGTGTGAGATTCCTGTCACTTTTTCCTCCCCCCATTTCTCTTCTCCCTCTTTCTTCCCTCTCCTTCGATCCTAGCCTTTTCATTCTCCTCCTTCTCCACGTTCAACATCTTCCTTCTTCCTTTTTTCCCCCTCTCCCTTTCCATCCTCTTATCCTTCTTCTTATCCCCTTTTCCTTCCTTCCTCCTATCCCTGTCCTTTCCCTCACCCCTACAGCCTCTCACCCCCCTCCCTCCCCACCACCCTCCTCCTCCTACCCCTTCCCTTCCCCCTGCCCTCTTTCCACCCCTCCCTCTCTCCCTCCCCTTTCCCTCCATCCCTTCATCCTCTCCTCTCCCTCTCTCCCTCCCTTTCCCCCTACCCTTTCAATCCCTCCCTCCCTCTTTCCCTCCCTTTCCTCCTTTCAATCCCTCCCTCCCTCCCTTCCCTCCACCCCTCCAATCCCTCCCTCCCTTCCCTCCCTCCCCCACCATCTCTCCCCCACCCCTTCCCTTTCCTCGACCCCTCCCTTTCCCTCCACCCTTTCAATCCCTCCCTCCCTCTCTCCTTCCATCCTTTCAATCCCTCCCTCCTCTCTCCCTCCACCCCTCCCTTTCCTCGACCCTTCAATCCCTCCCTCCCTCCCTTTCCCTCCACCCCTCGAATCCCTCCCTCCCTCCACCCCTCCCCCTCCTCGACCCCTCACACCTACCTCCCCCTGAAGGACTTCGAGCATTTTTCCAGTGTCGATCCCCATGTCCTCGAGATCCTGTTGACACGTCTCCCTGGCCCAGCTGGAGATCCACGGCGTCCGACTGAACAACCAGAAGAACTCAGCTCTGAAGCCGAAGTACTCGAGACAAGAGTAAACGCACGAGTAAGTGGTGTAGTCCGTGGAGATGACCTGGAAGACGAGACGAAAGAAAAAAGATGAAGAAAAGGGAATTAGATTAATTTCTTTGGTTTGGCTTCTAACAATAAAAAAAAGCCCCGACCTACAGACACCCTATAGGTCCTGGAAGACGAGACACACACAAAAGAAGAGAGAAGAAAAAAAAAATTATATTAATTTCTTTGGTTCGGATTCTATCAACTCTTTAAAGATGGTAATGTCTGTATTAACATCAGTGGTGAACAATCAGAAAGGAACAATTTCAAAGAGAAATAGAACCCCGACCTACAGACACCGTATAGGTTGCCACCCCCCCATCTCCTTGCTACAAAGAGGTAGGAGCCTATATGTGTGCATATACATATATATGTGTGCATAGACAGACAGACAGAACGATTGCAAAGACTCCTCTCAGGGGAAGATGGCGCGGGGGGAACTGCACCTCCATCTCCCCCTTGGCTCAAGTTACAACTCCATCTCTAGTTACACCTTAGATAAGTGGACGCTGCGGATAATTTCAAATATGCAAAGGCCAATGAACTAGCTAGAGAAAAAGGCAAAAAAGAAGAGAAAAAAGATCCCGTGCTGCTTGCTCAGTACGAAATTGCTTGCGGCATTTGATACGCTCTCTCCCTTCGCCAAACTGAGGGAGAGTTAGTATAATTGCACAACTTTTCATTATCCTAATTAAAACAGGAATCTCTCCTCTAGCGAATTGCTTAGTATTTCATACATAAATAAATATATGAGAAGAGGTTCCAGTACTTTTTTTCAACTCTCCCTCTCACTATGTCAATACTATAGATATGATTAAATGCTATGGCTAAAGGGGTTACCGTTCTTTGGTTTCAACTTCGCTTTTTCTTTATCTTTTTTCTTCTTCTGCGAATATGTCACCCACTCTTTTGCAAATATTACAAAGGAAGAGGTTAGTTGCGCCCAAAATAAAACGAAGACCGAAAATTGGAAATTAAACTTCAAAGAAGCAATAACCCCGGACTGCCAAGGACTGGACGCTTCAACAACAAAGTCTTGTTTCGACGTAAAGTCAACGATCCTCTCGAAATCTACCGACCCCTTTGAGCTCGCAATTGCACGATGCTTTTTCTCTTTCTCAATATGTTTCTTTCAATCTGTCTGTCTATGTCTGTTTCCCTGTATCTCACTGTGTGTGGGGGTGGGGGGGTGTATGTGGGTGTGTGTGTGTGTGTGTGTGTGTGTGTGTGTGTGTGTGTGTGTGTGTGTGTGTGTGTGTGTGTGTGTGTGTGGTGTGTGTGGTGTGTGTGTGTGTGTGTGTGTGTGTGTGTGTGTGTGTGTGTGTGTGTGTGTGTGTGTGTGTGTGTGTGTGTGTGTGTGTGTGTGTGTCTGCAATATACATATATATATAATCATAACAAGACACCACCCACACACTATGTATGTATTGTATGCATATTATATATATATATATATATATATATATATATATATATATATATATATATATATATATATATATATATACATACACATACATATATATACATACATACAACACACACTCACACTCACACACACACACACACACACACAAACACACACATACACACACACACACACACACATATGTGTGCGTGCGTGCATGTGTGTGCGATTTTTTCTTTCTCATTTTTGTAATTTATCTTTTTTTTAATACTTATAACATCATACACCAACTTCCATTTAACTAATTGAACCCCAAAATATTTTTTATATCCCTAGAGTATTCTGACGGATGTTAATTGTAAGATACTCTTCGTTATCATGAATAGAAGAGGGAATTTTGGTTTTACTCATGGTAATTATAACAATGCCTAGTAAATTAGACAAATAATTGTGTATCTAGCTATATCTGATATCTCACAATGCACTCTCATTGGCTAGTTCCGCTCCCTTTTTGAACCAGTCATTCTGCGCGATAATTAATGGTAATGGCTATTTCAGTGCATTTTCTTGGAAAACTGTTAATTAAGATGGTAAATTAAAACGAAACAAAATTATTTTTAAAAAATGCAATGAATGAAGGCGAAGCGGCAGGGTTGCCAACTAGGATTTTGATCAGACCACCTTGATCCTCATGTGGAATGAGGATAAAAACGTTTAAAACGGAAAGTTACATGTCTCAGAGGACGGTGATGTGTGTGAAACGTGAAAAAAAACTAATCCGTTTAATCTACTGACCGTATTAGCGGTGTAAGCAGCTTGTAGATAAAGTGTTGATCTTCATTTTCAATTTCCCTCCTTCCCTCCTACCTTCCCTTCCCATTTACCTTCCATACCCAACTTCCCCAACCCTCCCATACCCAACCCAACCTCTCTCTCTCCCCAACCTCCATACCCCACCCTCTCTCTCTCCTCCATCCCATACCCCCCCCTCCATACCCAACCCTCCATACCCAACCCTCTCTCTCCAACCCTCCATTCCCACCCCCACCCCAACCCCATCCCATCCCCCCGCCCAAACCTCCATACCCATCCCATACCCCACCCTCCATACCAACAACCCTCCCATACCCAACCCTCTCTCTCTCTCTCTCTCCATCCATACCCACCTCCCCCCCTCCCATACCCCAACCCCCCATACCACCTCTCTCTCTCTCTACCCCCATACCCCCTCCATACCCCAACCCTCCCATACCCCCACCTCCCATACCCCACCCTCCCATACCCCAACCCTCCCAACCCCCTCTCTCTCTCTCAACCCTCCATACCCCACCCTCCCATACCCCACCTTCATACCCCACCTTCCATACCCCAACCCTCCATACCCCACTCCATACCCCAACCCTCTCTTCTCCCAACCCTCCCATCCCCCAACTCACTTACCCCCTCCCATACCCCAACCTCTCTCTCTCCAACCCTCCCATACCCCCACCCTCCCAACCCCCCCTCCTAACCCCACCTCCCCTCCATACCCAACCCCTCCTCTCTCCCACCCAACCCCCACCCCTACCCCAACCCCTCCCCTACCCCCATACCCCCCACCTCCCACCCACCCCCATACCCCACCTCCCTCCCCCACCCTCATACCCCCACCCTCCCATACCCCCCCACCCCTCCCATACCTCCATACCCCCTCCCGTTCCAAACCTCCCATACCCTTCCCCCCCCCCTCCATACCCAACTCATCATAGGGCGACTCCGGCATCCGTCCATAATTAACGGTCATGTGCGCTGGTTCGAAGGGCTCCTCGAACTCCTCCGGCACCATGTACATGCCCTGGCGCACCTTCAGGCCGTCCTCTGCCAGGCCCCTGCTCACCACGCGCATCTCGTCGCCTGGAAAGAGAAAAAGAAAAAGAAAAAGAAGAAAAATTAACGGTGTGAATGAATAGTGTTTTTTGGGGTTGTTTTTTTTCTTTTTTGGGGGGGAGGGTTGTTTGTTTGTGTGGGTGTGGAAAAAAAAGAAAGAAAACGGTGTGAATAGTGTTTTTTGGGGGGTGTTTTAGAGGTGTTTGTTTGCTTGCGTGGGTGTGGAAAAAAAAAGAAAAACGGTGTGATAGTGTTTTTTGGGGTGTTTTGGGGTGTTTGTTTGCTTGCTTGCGTGGGTGTGTTTGTTAAGAGAAAGAGAAAGGAAACCGGTGTGAAGTGGTTTTGGGGTGTGGTGTTTTTTTTTTTTTTTTTTTTTTTTTTTTGCTTGCGTGTGTGTTTTTTTCCAAGTGGGTCTGGTAGTTATGTGGGATACCGGTGTATTTTTAATTTTTTTTATATATTGTGGTGTGCAGTGAAACCATTTTTACTTTCTTTTTTCTTCACAAAGAGTACCATGGAGAATTTCGTGAAAACCATTGAACGAAAAAAAAAATTGCTATGATAAAATAAAACCGACACGAATTCAAAGAAAGGGGGGGGGCAGCGTAAGGAAAATGACACTATGACAACCACAAATGCCAACATGGTCCTTGGCGGCGCAGAAGGCATGAGGCTATGCTAACAATCCTGGATTCGGATCACCACCAAAATTTAACAGCCTGAAAGTTAGGCTAAGACACGCATCTGGTAAAAAAAATAAATAAATAAATAAAATAATGATAAAAATAATAATAATATAAAAAATAATATAATAAAAAGAAGAAAATAATGATAAAAATAAGAATCTAAAAAATAAAAATCTGTTAACAATTTTTGAGGTTATCCTGCAAACCAACTAACCAACAAACTATCCAACTCTAAAAAAAAAAAAAAAAACATCTTGGCAGAGGTAACTACATTCATAAAGTTAATAACAACAGTACTGATAACAAAGATGAAAACAAACATAATAACAATGAATACTAATAATAACAATAATAACAATAATAAAATAATGATAACAATAAAAACAATAATAATAATTATGATAACAATAATGATAATAATAATAACGATGGAAATGATAATAACAATGATAATAAAAATAATAACGATGGAAATGATAATAATAACAAAAATAATTAAAGAAAAAGAAAAAATCACTTACCTGTCCACGTGTAGTTTTGACTGATGCATTGCTTGGTCACCTGGTACTCGTTGGGTACACTGGCGATGTCGAACCACAGCCCTTGGTACTGGGGATGAAAAGGGGTACATATAGGACTGAAGGAGTTATTAATAAGGCGTACCGTATTCGTACGCCTGCTGTTGGTACCGGATGTTGTACCGGCAGCCTGTTCTAAATATATAACTACTCCGTTCGGGCTCGAGGTCGCCTTCAAGGTCGCCAGGGGTCATAAGACCAAACTGACCTGAGAGCGACCTTCCATAACTCACCCTCACTACGACCTTCGCCACTCTGAGGGTCAGGACCAACGCCCTCGCTCGCCCCGACCATCCCGACGAACCCGTGGGAGCCGACCGACAAGATACCTGCCTTGCTGCCAACACCATCAAGAACATCTTCAATAAACAACGAAGATTGTGTGTTTCTCTGACCCTGTCATTCAATATAGTGGGACTCTTTACAACTGAAGGAGAGACCACTATAGCTGGTGACCGCGGTGTTTGAACTCACGTACTGCCCCCGCTCAAGTTCGTCAGCAGTCCACAGTACCGCGTAAGTACATAAGGGTCATTTTTCCTTTTCCCATGACCCCCATTTGTGTGCTCCGAGCAAGCCTTACTCAGTGTGTTAAGTGCTTAGGTTTATAGGGTATCGAATGGTCGTGTGGTAAACGCGTTTGGGGAATTGTTTGCGAGCATACAGTTCGTCTTTTCATCCGATAACGCAGCCACAATAGCTCATATCGGTAAATTCGGCGAGCTGTTTTCTAATTACTCATGAGCTCTCCTCCTTCTGAGAATACTCGTGCTAAGAAGTCGTTTGTTGTAAAGGCTCTTCAGACTTCATTAGGCTTTCCCCATAGAGATTCTGACTCACCTTCTCCTTCTTCTTCTCGCTCACTTTCTCCCTCACCATCTACCTTTGAAGCAGTCTCCCCTCTTTCTCCCCCCTC